TGTGTGTGTGTGTGTGTGTGTGTGTGTGTGATTAGTGGGTACCAGTTTGCAGGTCTGGAGTACGGAGCTGAATGCCACTGCGGGAACCGGATCACTAGCCTACGGGCTCCTGAAGAGGACTGTAGTCTGGTCTGTCGGGGTGAGCGAGGTTCTCCCTGTGGCGGTGTCGGTCGACTCTCCATTTACAAGGTGGAGGAGCAGCTGCCGGGTCACAGAAAATGTGAGTCAACTTCCCTCGGGGAAGGAGGAGGACTGTTTGCTGTCTCTTCTGTGCACAAGCTGCAGTGTGGTTGACTTCACAGACGAGTGAATTATTGTACTTCAAAAAATGATAAAATGATACAAGGTGAAATTGTAGTTTATTTCTACATAATCACACATATATACCTTTTATGTTATGTTCTATCAGAGTATTTATGGTTGTTTTTATTGATTTATACGTTATTGTTCTTTGTTTTTATGGTATGACATTAGCCATTTTCAGACATGCACTGAGCTCTGGATTACACTCTCAGGAGGGGCTATATGTGAGAACGCAAATGTCCAAGTGAGAGGCTGCAGACTTTCTCTAGAGTTTCTTAGTAAAACTAGAATGTCTGAATGAGCCGATGTGAGAACACAGTAAGAGATCCTCAAGAGACTCATCATGAGTGATTGGGCGCATTGATGACATTTCTAACATGAGATACAAATAGCTGAGGATGAAAAGGCCCTGCCATACAAGACATTGACAAAGATGTCAAGAGAGCTTTTAGTGATAACGTCCTCCCTTGGCATGCTGCTCAACTCCTCAAGCTCTGGAGAATCTTCTGCTGCTTTGTTCATAGGTGAAAGGTAAACTGCGGAGAAAGTCCGGACTCAATTGTGCACATGCACCTTATCCTGAGTTCATGTCTGAAATCGGCAAATGTGTGTCTCCCTAAGGCAGTATTCCCAAATATGTAGTTTTGCAGTTAAAAAATAAAGTTAAACCAAAGAATTAATAAAAATGAAGTATGATATTTTTAAAGAAAAAGACTTTCAGCAGCCATGAGCCAAACAGTCTAATATGACTTCCTTTGCTCACCTCAGTCTGTTTTGAGGTTGAGATGCGTCAGCAGTTCTTCGACCTGTTTGCAGGATCAAATCTTTCCATCACTGCTGACAGTCGTCATATCTGACAGCCGTGCATCAGGAAAACTCTTGCAGGAGAGAAAAGACGATGGTGAGCTGGCGTCAGCAGTACAATGGCACATTTAACAGGGCTTTGAACATTTTATATGAAAACGTAGTTAGTGTAAATGTTACCTCTTTTTTTTTTTTTTAAACGTGCTGACGTGAAGATGAGGACACTCATTTATCAACACACTTGGCCTGAAGAGAGGGAGAGAGAAAAAGAGCATCCTTTTTTTGTGGTTCACTTGATAACCTGCTTTCTTGGCAAAAATATTCATAATGTACAATAATATGAGTCGAGTCTCCAACTAAGTGATGGGAGTCTGCTTTGCTGTTGTCCCACTTCATAATTTAGGTTGAATAAACAGGTGGATTTTTGCATGAAATCCTGCTGAGCAGCCTTCAACCTGATTTATGATATTTGTGGAAACATATTTTAGTGAAGACTGTTGAGTATTTTCAGTGTGAGTCAGAGAAAAGGCAACGTCTGCTTGTTCTTTTTGCACAAAGATGTAGACACGATCGCACAGATCGTGATAAACTATGATTTAAGATACTGGATATTATATCTGAAATTATTTTGGTTGCATATGTTTAAATTATTAGCCATTTGTATTACTTGTTATTATTTAGTTATTGGCAAATTCAACAACACTGATCATCCATAAAGATTTCTAATCTACAGTCCCTTCTTGTTGTTGCAAGGTCTGATCAGTTAAAGAAGGACTTCATATACAGTTTTAATATTCATGATTGAATGGTTCTGCATCTCTGGGGGTTTGCAGCTGAATTTTGAATGTATCATATGCCAAAACTGAGTCACGTACAGGAATATATTTCAGGCATAAATTTTGGAATAGTTGCTGATTTAAATTTAACCCTGAAACCAGATTATAGTTCTCACTTGCTATCATCTACAGGTAATTAAACATCCTTCCTAAATCCGGCCAATGTAGATGAAGGCTAATGATTAATTAGTAATCCTGCCACTAGCATGCTACCATTTCCTCATGTATTTTTCTCTCTTCAGTCAGAAATGTTCACTTCCGCGGCTGCTTCAAGTTTCCGAAGAGCACCGTCGCCACCTTCCCCGTCTACTCCCTTCAGCCCAACCTGACAACACAGTCCTGCATCGAGACCTGCACTGATAAGGTTTGAATGGCTTCTCTGAAATTACAGACCTGGTGATCAATGTATTGCACTACACTGCTCTGTAGCTCTCTGCAGTGGTTCTCCTCTCCCAGGAGATCACATGTGGGCGCGCAGAGCTCCTTGAATTTTGCTGAATATTTAAGGTTTAATGTGCCTCTAATTAGAAGTAGTCTGGATCCTGCGCTGAGATCTGACTGAATACAGCTGCATCTCCTCTGAAAACTGAAACTGCTGGTAGAAATTCTGCACATCTTCTGGTGGCGACCGCACGTGATTAATTCTCACTGTGTGGAGTGTGTCTGTGTGTGTGTGTCTGCATGTGTGAGTGATTATGCATTAACAATTCTCAAATCTTTACTGCAGTGTGTGTCCTTGTGCTTTGACATTGAACATTCTGACCTTCTGTAGCTGGAAAAGGGACACAAATTCTGAATAAAAAATGAAGAACCAAGAATTTGCCGTTGAAGTGAGCGTACACATCAACCCTGGGTAGAAAAGAAGAATTCGGAGAGAAAAGTAAATATGATGAGTCATTTGAAAACATGGAGCCTGTCTGTGCTTTTTGTTTGCAGGAGCTGCCGCTGGCTGTGTTCAAGAAACCGCACTGTTTCTGTACATGGACGTCTCCTCTGTTCAGTCTCAACGCTGCTGTGAACCACACCAGCAACTCCACACCCTCAGCATCCACCGAGCATGACCACTACCAGGTGTATCACACTCCGGTGCTAGGTGAGATACTTGCTATACACATGCAGCCCTGTGTCAATCATCTGTTTAAAACTCCAATCATGTGAGGCCTCATTGTGACTAGTTTTACAGGGAGAATTGATAATGTTATAATTACCAGAGCGTGCCTGTGTTTTAATCCCATCCCGTTCTGCTTTGCCAGTCATTTTTACGGATCACACACAGCAGTTAAAGTTCCAGCCTGTATTGCCTCCTGTAAAATGGCCTGTAAAAACAACCGTAACAATTCTATTCCCTGAAACAGCTTGTGAATATTGTCTTTTTCTAAGAAAGACCACTTGCTGTATTCTTCTCAGATCAGGCAATAAATCTCAACTCTCATCCCCGGAACCATTTCCCTTGTTCCGTGTTACGTTTGTCCTGAAAATGAATCATTATGCTCGTCTGCTGCTCTATAACTGACACTGACAACAAAAGCTCTGTGGCTGCAGACTCCAGGTGCAAAGAGAGGATGTTTCTGCCTCAGAGATCCAGCTCCCTCGTGGCTCTCTCCAGTTTTCCTGGTGCAGGCAACACCTGGGTACGGCACCTCATCGAGCTTGTGACCGGCTACTACACTGGCAGCTTCTATTTCGACGGCACGCTATACAACAGAGGTGGGTAGGGGGGTGGGGTCACCACAACTATCTTTAATTAAGTGTTGAAGTGAAATTTTGCCCTTCAGCTGACATTCATTTGTTGGTACCAGGTTTCAAAGGAGAGAAGGATTACTGGAAGAGTGGCCGCAGCATCTGCGTGAAGACCCATGAGAGCGGTCAGAAAGAGATAGAAATGTTCGACTCTTCCATCCTGCTGATTCGAAACCCTTACCGCTCCCTCATGGCTGAATTCAATCGCAAGTGCGCCGGACATTTAGGACATGCTACAGACACACAGTGGAAAAGTAAAGGTAATACAGTCCAGTCCTCACAGACATAACAACCGAGTGCTTTACGGCTCTGCTGGAGGATTCTGTGCTTATTGCTGCATAATGTCCTGCTGCTGATGTTACAGCAACATTAGACCTCAGGGCATTCTGTGATTGTGACTGTGAGTGGATCACAAAGCTGTTTGGTTCTCATATATATACAGAGAAGACTGCAGTGCCCGAGCTGTATCACAGCTTTTATACTACACTAACATGCAGTACATATAAGTCATTAAAGTACAACAATCTGCAGCTTTAACAGAGGAATAATACATCATGTGATGTCAAGAAAATCCATCTGTGCTTCAGAATCACACCCCCCTATATCAGTGTCGTGTTTGTAAATTGACATTTCTGCATCCAACAAAATATATAGCGAAGATGAAGGGGATTGTAGGTGTGATGCACATGGCACTGAAAAAAAAGTTATATATATACCTGGTACTATAGGAGTGTCACAGTAACAGATAAAGTAGCGGTTTTGTTTGGATTTCTAGTCCATATAAAAACCACTGGGGTGCCCAGGTGCTGTAGCATGCAAACAATCAACAGCAAATAAAGAAGCAGTATAAAGAATGGACAGTGTTGTGTAGATGATCCAAAGAAAATGATTGAAATGTTTGAGATATATCATCTTGACTTGGAGGCGGTGTTGTTATTATGATGTTGATTATTTATGTTGCAGAATAGTTTAATTGAATTCACCCTTTTAAACTGATCCCTTCAGACCTGGCATCATATCTGCACCTCAATTACATTTCTGTGATGTGAAAAACAGATTTAACAATTACATTAAATATTACATTTTAATTTTTTTTAATAAATGTCATACATACTGCATATAAAAATGAACCATGTTACCCTGTTCATCAGTTAATAGTTCTGTAGTCAATCATATCCACAAATCATCCTCGGTTGAATGTGAATAATCCTCCACTGTGCTCACTTTCACCTGCAGAATGGCCAGAATTTGTCTCCAGCTATGCCCCCTGGTGGGCATCCCATGCACTGAGCTGGCTGAAGTTTGGACACCGCCTGCTGGTGGTGCATTACGAGGAGCTGCAGAGAGATCTTCTCCCTCAGCTCCGTCTCATCACGGGTTTTCTAAATGTCACTATGACTGAGGAGAGGCTGCTTTGTGCCCAAAGCAACCAGGACGGCCATTTTAAACGCTCTGTGGCGCAGAGGCCCTCCTTTGACCCATTCAACCCCGACATGAAACAGATGATTGACTCCTTCATCCACACCGTTGACGAGGCACTGCAGAGCAGGAACTTTAGCGGACTTCCACAGGAATACCTCCCCAGATGATGATGATCTGAAAAGGTCACAGATGCCTGGTCCAGCAGGGTAGTTCTTCATGGAGTGCTGTGTGGGGAACAGACACACGCTGGCTTATAGAAGTGGACCACCTGACTGTTTGATAAGCCAGACGCACTATGAATGGCTGGAGAGTCATGGAAACACAGCTGAGGTCACTGCAGAAAACATGACAATTCATAGCGAGATCCGCCGGTGAAGAATGATGAACGCCTCAGGGCCGGGGCCCGCCTCTCTGCGAGCCGCAAATATGACAAATACTTAGAGAGGATTTGTCAAGATTTGTTGGACTGCAGCGTCGGGATTATCCTGCAAAGTGCTCGACTGCACAAATATGAATGTGTGTAAATCCAGGGCAGACTCATTTCAGTTAAAGAGGGGTTTTCTGTGACTCTTTACAATTTCACTTTAGTAAATATATATCATGTTTCTAGTATACGACCGTGTTAATAAAATGATCTGTCATACTAACACAGATGATAGACACAGGAGCATTACTCGGATTGTACAGTGTTTAAGGGGGGTTTCCACTGGTTGCTCCATCATGGTGGATAAAAGCCTTAAAGCCGAACGATGTGACAGAATGGACTCTCCATACGACTCGTACATGACTGTACATGAAGAAGAAATGTGTTGATTACAGTGAAGCTGCTTTAAACTGTATTTTACACCCAGCTGTTTCATTTATGAGCATTTTATTTTAATAAATGCATTTGGGTTGAAATGAAAGAAGCGAGTTTGCATTAGTTCAGATGTTTTTTCACTTAAATGGACCAACGTGAGGCACATGACTGTCTCAGTAGCTTTGTGTGTTCAGTGGTCACAACACGTCCAATGGAAAAGATGGTGTTAGTGTCCAGCCTTCATGCTGTAACCACAAACAAAACAAAAAAAGTAACACATGTACGCATGACAACCCCTGAGCCTAAAACTCTCATGACAGCAAAAACAGTGCCACCTAATGTTTGAATTTTAGACTCTGCAGTAACACAAGCTTGATCTTTTTTTTTAGACCAAGGCAAGCACACCTCAACCTACTTGAATTAATTGTACTTAATAGCGGTGGTTCTCAAATGGGGGTCTGTGGTCTCCCAAAGGTCCACAGCACACCAGGGAATCCATAAACGTTTTACAGATTTTACAGATCCATTAAAATCATAATATATTGGTATTGTGTGTTGACATGTTTAGAATATTTTTAATACATGTCCATTATCTTTCTTAGACCTTTGTCTTGTTCATTACAAAAGTTGCTGTGTCACTGGCTGTGTCAAATCATTTTGAAGGGGTCCTCTGAGTATTTTCTATGTTCTAGGCGGGTCCTTGGCCAAAATAAGAATTGAGAACCTCTGCAAAATTGACAAAATTGCAAATTTCTTGAAATCCATAATGTTGAGGCCAGACTTTATAACTGATAAGTGAATGATATTGTTTAATCAGCAACTAGAATGCTCAGTAGGGCATGTGCCTAGATTTCTTTCATCAAGATCCATGAATAATTCTTCGGGGAAATCCCGAACACACCAAGACTGAATGGGTTTTTCCCTAACACATACCACATCCTTTCATCAAGTTTTGTGGAAATCTGTTCATTTGTTGTTCCGTAATCTTGTTTCTAAACTAACTAATGAACGGACTAACAAAAGAATGAACAGGGCTAACATGACCTTTGTCGATAGTAATCTGTCACTATAAGAAGAAACACACAATGTCAAGAGCACAAAAAAATGATATTCAATAACAATATCATAGGTGCTTTAATATAAAAAACTGCAGAGAGGCTAAATCAATGAGAAACTGAACTTTATCATTTCGCAAAAGTACGACTGACTCCAGGACTGTTGTATTGGACTGAGCAGATTTTCATTATATTCTGTCAACCCACTGACACAGAGAGAGAATAAAACTCTGATTCCAGCTACAAGCCACAAGGGTAAAGTCCTTCTGCAGTAACAAATGTCAACATTGAATGTCACAACAACATTCCATCCTGAGAGGCAGCGTCAATCCCTGGACTGATGAACTGGTTCTTAACCCTGCTGTGAGCTAGGTTTTCATAACGCATGTATCGAATGCATGCAGGTCTGTGCTGCAGCCCTTCTATATCTGTCCGAAGGGCCTGGAGGGAAATACTGACTGCTATCAGATGAATGCTGGGAAAATGAAAAATGAAGTGAATGAAAATCATGGAGATGGTTTTGCAAAAGGCAAAGCAAGTGTTTAAATAAGAATTAAGGTTGAACAAGAGGGTGGGTACAGTGTTGCTAACAGGGTAACACGGATATGTGCATCTTAGTTCCAGAAGCTGTATCATGCAGGAGAACCATCTCACTGAAATTCTTTAATGGTGCTCGTACAGCAGCACCAGTACAGCCTCAAAAACCCATCACATTCATCCCATACACTTTACCAGAATTTCAAATAAAACTATGTATACTTTGTGGTTTTAATTAGCTTTTTTTAGCTACTTGATCTAAAGAACTGTGATGACACTACAAATAAAAGATTTTATCGTCAGTGTTAAGATGTTTAATTACAGGAAACACAAAAAACAGCTTGTTTAATTAAACTACATTTGATTTAATGCCCTTCTTTAAAAAAGCTAATTGATTTTAACCACAACATTACAGTGTAATGTAGTGTGGTGGAAAATCCAACATCAATTTATAGATGTGACTCTAATGTTAGCATGGCAACGTCAGTGGAAGAAAAGAAAAGAGTAAACAGAGACAGAGGCAACAAATTTGGTAAACATTGGTGATTCTTTCCACAGAGGGACACTTGCTTCTGACGAGTAAAGGACTGGAATTTGGTGTTTAACTATTTTTCTGCTAGAATGGCAAGAAAAAAAAGATTCCAAAACTGGCTACAAACACCTGTGTGTAGTTCCTCCGTTCTCCAGAGCACGCTATCGAGCAAACTGTTTTCATCATCTGTCCCAAACAACTTTATTGTTTTGGTTCAGTCTTTTCTTTTGCAGCTAATTTCACGTAAGCTCAGATAAATGCAGTGTGCGCTACCTGCCTGGCAGCTAATGGAAGACAAAGTTTTACAAACAAACAAAAGTGTTGTTTTCAAAAAGATAAAAGAACATTATTTAACTTAGTGAATACAAAATAATTCTGTTGAACATAAACTTATTTCTAATGCATTACATAAAGGACCAGTGTGTAAGATTTAGGTGAAAGGGATCTATTGGCAGAAATTTTATATAAAATAATCCTAGTGATGTTTTCCCTAATGTGTGATCACCTAAATTGTAAGAATTGTTTTAAGATAGGGTAACATTTTCTTTACTCTAGAATGGCCCCTTTATATTTAAATGTTTTATTTTTTACATCAGGAGGGGGTCCTCTCTACGGAGGTCACCTGTTTTTTTACAGTAGCTCCAAAAAGCCTTTTGAGTTTTTATAACAACTGAAGGCTACCACAGGTTCTCTTTCATGTTTGGAAGGGGTATTCAGCTGCAAAATGCAACTTCACCACTAGATGTCACTAAATCCTACACACTGAACCTTTAAGTCATGGATATTTCTCTCAAGTGTTGGTGGAGACCAAAACATTGCTAAATAAATGTAATATTTTCCAGACTGACAGAAACGCCACCCCAAATAAATGTTAATGTTGCTTTGTATCGGCTGGATTTTTAAATAGGAAACTGTTGGCTGATAAGTCAATCATTTTAAATTTATAGAATAATATGGCAGTGTTATTAGAGTTCGGCCAAAGTGGCCAAAGACTACAGAGCCAATGAATGCAGGGTAAAGTATTGGACTATCTGAGTTGGTGCAGAGGAGAAGGAGAACATTTGTGTCTTTACGGAATATATATCAGCCAAAGAATGTCAGTGTGCAGTGTAGGCTGGTTGACAGGCACATGAGCTCAAGGTGTTTTTAAAAAGTTGTGTTATTCCCAGAGGGCCGTGAGTTTGAGACTAGGCTTAACTGGTGAAGCGGTGCCATAAGGCCTCACAGTCAGGTGTCTCTCATAAACAGTGAATCGACTGACAGCTAGTCTGGGATGTATTAAGACACCATCTGCTTCAACAGCATGTGATGTTTTACTGGCTTTTTAGTCCACGGATTTGCAAATATAAAAACGATTAAACTTGCTCAGAAAAAGAATATATTGATACACAAGAGTAAAGTTCCAGTGGAAGACAGAGAAATGAAGGATGTTGCCAGACTGTGGATGATGTTCAGGCGCAGGGAGAGTCTACACATTAACAGAAATCGAGCTTGTTCCCTGTGCAGCACAGACAGCGAGATGAGCCAGTCCTGACAGCTCATGAGCAATCTCAAGGGACACACTGTGTCAATACCAATAAGGCTTTAGTCTTATATTAAAGGGAAGGTAAAGAGGATGCTAGGGGATGTGACTTTAATATTAAATATGCATGTAAAAGAAGGTCCCAAAATGAGATAAATACATTGCATGATTTTCACCTCACGAACTTGGACCTAAGGTTTCTTGTTATTACAAGAAATAATCTTCTTAAAAATGTATTAAAGTGTTTTTTTCTCAAACTGTGGGTTCTATGCGACAGTGCCAATCAAGCCAAACACTTAAAAAGCACCCACACACTGAGGATGTTTTTTTTAACAGCCAGTGCTCTTTTGAAATATTTTTACAGAATGTACGATTTTACTGTAGGGTGGAACTGTTTATTTGAAAAAAATATATATTTCAGGTCTCAAAACTACAATACAGTTAAACTGTATTAATCTACTTTTGATTTCCACTTTGCCAGTTGTTTTCCTTGTCTGTCTTTTCCTCTAACTCAAGAGAAACACAATGATACTGTGATTTGAAATACTTCAGTAAACATCAATATAGGCCTGATGAGTGTGTGTGTGTTTCAGAGCCCAGACTGAACTGCAGCTTGCAGGCTTTATGGTTTTATAAACATTTTATGTAAAACATTAGTCAGCCTGTCCCTCACATGTGATTAGGAGGACAGTGGCGCCCAAAATTAACACCGTCATCTTTCATTTTAATGGAGTTTTACGAAAATTCATTCACTTCACCTGTCTGTTCTGACTGAGCAACAGGAATTTATGATGCTGTTTAAATAATCATGAAACAAGCACTACTTGTTCCTGTGTTCAGTCCAGCCTTGCGAGCATTTTAATTCTCCCCACACATAGAGCCATCAGATTGAATCGTCATTATGTGGAAGTGAAGGTGAAATTCTCAATCAAACTTTTAATTTAATTTATTCAGGTTTAATTAGAAAAAAAAACAATCAAACACATAAAAAGGAGATAAAAGAAAAGGTTGCTGCGTGTCTTGACCAGCATTTGATTAAATAAATTAAACCAATGAGATCAACAAAAAGAAAGACTGTAATTATTCTTTTTGTGAACTCATTAAAACATGACTTTACTCCTTATCATCAAGACAAATTAGAACTAGCATAATCAATACAGGCCTCCCGGTCGACTCTTGGCTTTAATGTGACAATGCCGTAGCCCCTCAGTTGATTGACCAGCACTGTTTGCTCTCATAGAGACTGCACAGCTCCAGTGAATCCTTCTCACCACACAGAATAAATCACAGTATGAAAGTAGAGTTATTGTTGTGGCCCCAAACAACCTCAGAAACACATTATCTAACGATATAAATACAATAGATGACACTGCTCCGGCCTCCAGCGCTATTGTAAGAAAA